TCAGGTATTCCGCTTAAAATATTGAATAGGGGGTTGAACAGAATGAATAAAACAAGTTAAAATTATATGTTGGTTCTGTTGCATACTATTATTCAACACAGGCCACCACGTTGCAGATGTGCAACCGACAAATATGTATTTACGATATTTGTTTTTTGTATTTTTTTTCATTGTGTTTTGTTGAATTTAATGACATAATGAATTCTCATCCTTACATATAATTCAATTAAATATCGTGATGGAAAGCAATCAATAGTTATAAGAATTCAATTTTACTTAAAGCGTCATACAATTTTTTTTTCCTAATATTTCAAAATAATACCGAGTAATATCATGTTGTTGGGTGAACGCCAAACGCGTACAACTGATTCCGTGTACGTGACACTCCTAAACGGGCGTACCGGTACGCAAGTGAAGCCGACCGGTACTACCGAGAACGATGCGGGCAGGGGGGGGGGGGCACTCCGCTCTCCATCATAACGCGCCCCATTGCTCCGTCTAATCGCCGTGTTGACGATTAGTATTTAATACAAATATAGTAGTACCGTATAGCGAGGGTGTAAGAATATCCATTACCCCATAACGTCCGTGGGTGTCGTAAGAAGCGACACAGGGAAACAAACCAGGAGATTTATTTTCATGATAATAACACAATTAAAAAAATACTGCGGCTGCCAACTCGTTTTTTATTTTTATAGGATAGGGTGACCAGTGAGCACACAGTCCACCTGATGGTAAGTGGTTGCTGTGACCTATAGACATTCACATCTATTCTCAATAAAGAATCAAAATACAGATGCGTTGTCACCCGTGAGGACTAAGATGGAATGCATCTTTTCCAGTAAAATGGGTCACCGGTTCTCTACACTCGCCGTACGAAACACAGCAGTGTCAAGCTGCTATTTTACGCTGGTATTCTGTGAGAGCGTGTACCACCATACTATGGAGTGTAGAGTAGAAGGAGGACCATCTCTGTATATGAAAAGTGTCCCTAAAAACGTGTCCAATAAGGGTGGCGCTGCAGTAGCATAGGATAAATTAAAAAAGAAGCGCCAAAAGTATTTAGAGTAAGATGAAGAAATAAATAAGGACCGATCAATCCGCTTGGTTTTGTACTACGTAAATAGTTGAGATTTTGTATATTGGCGTTTTACTAACTACTCTAGTCATGAAATATTTGAATTCAGCTGACTTCACTCCGTTCATAACATCTATCTTCATATCGTAGTTTTTCAGACGCCAGCGCTATTGTGGTAGGTTTTGGAACCTCTATTTACAGTAAATAGTAGGACACTTTTTCAACCTTCGCTCTTTATAAGATGGTTCTCCTTCTACTCTACACTCCATACACCATACGAAACAACGGTGAGTGTAGAGAACCGGAGACCCATTTTACTGGAAAAGAGGCATTCCATCTTAATCCACACGGGTGACGACGCATCTGCATTTTTTAAAATTCTTTATTGAGGATATAGATGTAAATGTCTATGGGCCACAGGAATCACTTACCATCAGGTGGAACTGTGTGCTCGTTTGTCACCCTTGTTCTATAAAAAAATACCAGCGTGAAATAGCAGGTTAGCACTTAACTAGTCTGGAATCTGGAACCCTTGGAACTGGAATAGAGGCATTTTATATTACTTCTCAGGAGTGACAACGCATTCTGCTTTGTGATACGAAATCGAGGATAAATGTAGATGTAGATATCCGACGACCAAGGTAGACTGAGTACTCGTTTGTCGCCCTTTATTATATGAAAAAAAAAATGGATTAATATGACTAATGAATAATTTTTTTAATAATTTGTTTACAATTTATTCTATAGATACATGTGCAGTGACTGTGGGAAACGCTTTGCGAACAAGACTCGGCTCAAGGACCATGTGGATTGGGAGCACTTAAAGAACTACGTTCATAAATGTGGTGTCTGTCAAAAGGTATATCTTTATCTCTATATAGGATTATTTTTCAAAAAGTAGCCAAATTTTAAACTTAAGTTCAAATATATAAATAATGGTATACCGTTTTGGCAGTTTTTGAAAATACGAGTAAATAAGGCTTCTACTTTTATTTAAAATTATTCCAAATTCAATGTTATTTAAGGTTTTTCTTACCGCCCGACCCTTCCTAAGGTGTGTGTGTGCAGTAAAATCAGTTAAAAAAATGCATGACCACGCATTTTGAATTTAAAGAATCATAATTTAAAATTAAAAATTTTGTACAACCGATTTCAATATAAATTATTAAGAATAACTCAAAACCATATTGGTCAGACCTTGATAAAATTTATATGGGACCACATGAGAAGCACCAGCAAAGAATCATCGAAACCATGGGACCACATGAGAAGTACCAGCAAAGAATCATCGGTTCACCCAGAAAAAGATATGAGGCAACACACAAAAAATTTACACGTAACCTATACAGACCTGAACTGTTATGGCGATCAATAATGTCGAATATTCTCTTCGGTATAAGTTTTTCCGAACATTCTATCGAATATTCGCATTAGATTTAGATGAAACCTATGTTCCGTTACCGTTATAGTCTATATATTGCCTCAAAGGGGAATATTTGCCATAGTTGCCACGCTTGGCAGCGGGTGGGCAACCGTGGTTTGTTAATTTTAGTCGTTATTAGGAAGACGTTGCTGACCATCCGATTTGTTTCATTCTGTCGCCTCTTACGTACACCCACTGGATGTGGTGGATGTTCTTACATCGCCACGCCAGAATACCGTGTATTCTCTGTAATAACATACATTGAATGACAAACTTTAGATCTTAACTATTCAATAACAGATATTCAAAAGTCACACGTCCCTGTACATACACAAGCAAGTCGTTCACAAGAAGGACCATGCCGAGCATCTATGCGATCATTGCGGAAAGTCATTCCCGGTAAATTTAAAACATTTATCTTGAATTTTATTTTAATTTATTTATTTAATACTATACATTAATATGTTTATTCAATTCATTCACTAATGCAATTGAATTAGATTTGTTTTTTTTTGGCAATATAGCATATACTATACATACATATAATTGTTATAGTTGGACTATTAAGCCTAAAGCTATTATAAGCAACATGATTAAAATAATGATGTATTCATTAGCGATAATGTTAATTACATGATAAAGTATTGCATAATGAAGGAATTTTCTCTACGCTATAGAGCCATGCTGCAGCTTTATTATGGTTGAAGCACGAAGGCATCGGCTCGATCAGGGAAGGATGACGCTCTCATAGAATACCAATGTAAAATAACACCTTAATACTGCGGTTTCGCATGGTGAGTGTAGAGAATCGGAACCGGAGATCATTTTAACTGGAAATAAGGCGTTCCGTCGTAATTCTCAGGGACGACAACTTTTAATCGCTGACAGATGTAAATGTCTTTGGGCCACAGTATCCGCTTACCATCAGATGCACTGTGTGCTCTTTTGTCAACCTTATTCTTAAAAAATACTAATGGTTTGTTTTTTTGCTAGCGATTGAAAACAACAATATTTTATCAATATAATCTTATACAATCCATGTAACAGAATCAAACGAAACTCCGCGGGCACGTTGCGGCCATACATTCCCGCGAGGCGCCGTACCGGTGCGGCTCGTGTGCGGCGCGCTTCAGCTGGCACTCCTGCCTGTCGCGCCACGTGCGCCGAGTGCACCGCAAGCGGGACGCGCCTCGTCCCTAGTGCCCCACACCGCTGCCACGCGGCACTTCACTAGTGCCCCACACCGCTGCCACGCGGCACTTCACTAGTGCCCCACACCGCTGCCACGCGGCACTTCACTAGTGCCCCACACCGCTGCCACGCGGCACTTCACTAGTGCCCCACACCGCTGCCACGCGGCACTTCACTAGTGCCCCACACCGCTGCCACGCGGCACTTCACTAGTGCCCCACACCGCTGCCACGCGGCACTTCACTAGTGCCCCACACCGCTGCCACGCGGCACTTCACTAGTGCCCCACACCGCTGCCACGCGGCTCTTCACTAGTGCCCCACACCGCTGCCACGCGGCACTTCACTAGTGCCCCACACCGATGGCACACGGCACGTCCCTAGTGCTCCATACCGCCGGCACGCGGCTCATCAATAGTGCCCCACACTGCCTGCACATCCCTAGTGCTCCACATAGCAAGCGGGATTTGGCACATCACTAGCAGTAGTGATTTTGGTGGGAACTTGACCGTCGTCGAAGGATTGGTGTTCGTTCACTACCGTTTAAATAATGGAAGTGGATTTTGATACGTAAAGTGATGCATAGTGTAATAAATGTGTACGTGTGAACTATAGTTGTTTAAAACGCCTATAATTTTTTTATTTATAGTATAAGGATGGCAAACGAGCACACAGTCTACCTGGTTGTAAATGGATACTGTGGCCCATAGACGTCTACATTTATCCTCGACTAAGGATCAAAATGCAGTGCCTTGACACCCCTGAGGACTAAGATGGAATGCCTTGTTTCCAGTAAAAAAGGTCTCCGGTTCTCTACACTCACCATACGAAACACAGCAGCATTCAGTTCTGTGAGAGCATGATACTCCACGACCGAATGCATTAGAAACATTTAGAATAATAAAAAGCAAGTTTTTCCATCGCCGAAGAAGCCGTGGCTGCCTACGAAGAAGCGATTTCCGACCTGTCAGATCAAGATTGGCAAAAGTGTTTTCAGACTTGGTTTAGGCGAATGGAACTTTGTATAGAACATGATGGAGAGTATTTTGAAAAGATGTAAAATAAATATTAATAGTATCTAGAATACTTTTTGTATATCTCAAAACTTATTGAGTGACCTACGTATACACTGCAGGCCAAAAGTTAAAGACCATCTTAATTTAAGTAGGATAATTAAATAAAACTCCAATAAAATATTAAATGTTTAATAAAACTGTTAAATAATCCAATAAAACAATTTTTGATAATCAATATACTTGAAAAGCGTAAAGAAATATTAACAGTCCATGCTAAAAAAGGCTATAGTAAGCTAAACTGATTTTTCATCAAAAAATCCTCTTTTGCATTCTATGACTTTTTTCACAAGTCTCGGCATACGGGCATTCAATTTGTTGATAGTGTCTTGTGATATATTGCTCCAACTTTCGCACAAAGCATTCCACATTTCTTCTCGCGAGGATGGACCACAATTACGCACGTTCCTATCAAGCTCTTCCCACAAAAGTTCAATGGGATTGAGATCCGGGCTCTGAGGAGGCCAAATCATGTTTTTTGACACCCCTTGTGCCTCTTTCTCTTCCAAATATCCTCTACATAATTTTGAGCTATGCTTAGAATAATTGTCCTGTTGGAAAATGAATCCATCTCCAATTAATCGCAACCCCGAAGGAACGGCATTTTGTACTAAAATTTTTTTGTAATCTTCCTTTTTCATAATTCCGTCAATTTTGATCAAATCGCCAGTTCCTTGGCTAGAAAAACAACCCCAGACCATAATTGAGTCACCACCAAGCTTGATTGTTGGGACTACACAGTCTGGCATCATCTTTTCTTGGTCACTGCGTTGAACGTAAATTCTTCGTTTTGAACGGAATAGTTCAAACTTGTATACATCGGTCCAAAGAACTTTTTTAAAATCTTGTTCAGTCCAATCTGGATGGGCAAGGGCCCATTGTATCCGTTTTTTCTTGTTTTGTGGCCTTTACAGAGGTTTTCGAACGGCGACGACACGACCATACAATTTCTCATCTCTCAGTCGCCGTTTTACTGTAGTCAATGGTAAAGGTTTAACTTGTGTTTTGTTTACTTCAACGCAGATTTCCGGTGCTGTTAAGCATTTATTTCGCTTGCTGGTTACAACAATGAAATGATCTTGACTTGACGTGGTAGCTCTCGGCGTTCCCGAGCGTCGACGATCTTGAAAAGTTCCTGTCTCCCTGTATCGAGCTATTGTGCCATGAACACAAGTCTTCGATAACTTCAATTCTAAAGCAATCTCATGTTCGGATTTGCCTTAATTATGTAAAACAACGATGGCAGAACACACTTCACTGCTGATTTCGCGTGCTTTTCCATTTTAAGACGTCTTCACTGTAGAAATCACAAGTTTAGACTAATTGAGATTGTTTGTGAACAAAACCATGCAAACTCAGGTAATAATAAGTCGGAAACACGTGTTTTTAGAAGCTAAATAATCCTAATTATTGACCAATGGGAAACAAAAGCAAAACAATTAGTTATTAGCCCTTCATAAAAATATTATTACGATTCTACCACCTGGCTCTAACGCAGCGTTTGTCGTAGTTTGAAAACAATACATGCTTATTGTCCAATAACTTGAAAGTAAATAAAAGAATGACTTTGAATAAAACTACTTTTACGAATTTTTTCGCGTTTAATTAACTTATCTTATTTTTCATTAATTCCCGACGTTTCGGGTGCTTTTCAGCATCTGTAACGTCACCGTGCTCCGGATTAACTCTGACATCGGGACGTCAATTACCTCAGTTCCCAGTGACCACGGGTGCTGTAAAGCACCCGAAACGTCGGGAATTAATAAAAAATAAGATAAATAAGTTAGTTAAATGCGAAAAAATCCGTAAAAGTAATTTTATTCAATGTGTAGTGTTTTCTTTTATTTATCTTATGGGATTTCGTTACAATTTATAGATAATTATGTTGTTTAAGTGTGGTCTTAAACTTTTGGCCGTCAGTGTATATATATATATATATATATATATATATATATATATATATATATATATATATATATATATATATATATATTCCCCACGAAAAAAAGAGATGGTATTGTCAATGTTGTTCAACCCCTCCTGTATTAAATTTTGTACCGCAGTGATATTTTATTCAACATTTTTCGAGGCAATTTGGTTTTTCAAAATACCCCAGAAATTCTCGATTGCGTTCAGCTCGGGGTGATATGGTGGCAACTTTAATATTTCAAAGCTCTTACTTCTTATTATTTCGTTGATTTTTAATGTTATGAAACGCTCTTTGTTCTTTCTTTATTAAGTCGTACAGTTCTATTTTGTGCGAAATTTCATCAAACGGGCTACCGTTTTCTGTCAGCCATTTTGACATGTTGCCCTTAAGGGAATTGGATGTAGGTATAATACAGCTGCGGGTGTTGTGTGTGGTATACCCTGTACAATATAGCTTGATATTTTTGACAGATGCGTCTTGTTATGGGAAACAGATAATATCTAGTATTGCAAAAAAATAACGTTTTTATATAGGCACTTGTAACTGTGATGAGATGGTGTGACTGTATGCAAGTTTTAAAAACTATTCAAATTAAATTAATTCATTCATCAATCAACTTTATTGCACTAGACATATAAAAACATTGGGTAGGTAAGCGACGATGGGTTATATTATTCATATAATATTGAGTTAAAATTAAGGTTGAAAAATAAAATAAAATTTTCTCTTTAAAACATAGTTTTTAATCGGGAAGAGAAGCACAACCAAGATTTTCATCGTCGGAGTCGTCATCGGAATTTGTGTCATCATCTCCAACTTGATTTATTAGTTCGTTTTCAAAGAAATTGTCGAAGTGCACATCGCGCATACAGACTGACAAAACTTCTTCTTTCACGTGTCGAACAACATTCGCCCAGTTTTTAGCGGTCACCTGACCACAAGCTTCTTCCAACAAACTGAGCATTTTGTTTGCGGTGAAGGAAGTAGATGTGTTGTTGCGTGCTGCATGTCCTGTGGACGAAATAAGTGATGAATAAAGTAATACTATTTAATGCAATATATGTAATAGTATTAATGAAAAAAAAATATTATTTAATTCAAATATGTTATATTTAGCAAGAAAAAAAAAAGAAATATTTACGCATTCTCACTGACCTTTGATTTGTGCCCATATCAGTTCTATGGCATTATATTGACAGTGATAATGTGGCAATTTGATAACCGATTCGTTGCGGCACCAATTTTCGACAACTTTTAGCTGTGGCGGCGAACAAATATGACATGACACGCCGGGCGTGTCAAGCGCCACAGACACGCCTATTGTGCCATCCGCCACGTGTAAAATTAATGTTCTTTTTATGCTTTTTTAACTTGTTTAGACCTAATTAAGTTTATTTGACATCAAACATAAGTTACAAATGGAAGGATACTTGTTTTTAGTGGGTAACTACGTATTTTTTTACGCGTTTTCTTTGAAATTGAGAGTAAGTGACTTTTTTTATGAAGAGATTACAAACCTTTTGTACTATTTTTTGTTGTTATAAAAAAATCGTTTATATAAGTAGGTACAGCTAAATCACCCTGGAAACCTTGGTATTTATTAAATTAAATTTTCACCTAATAATAACATTTGTAAATATCAAACAATGAAGAACCTTAATTTGAAAAAAAAAAGGTATATCATTCAAAGAATAGCAAATTCTTACTAATTAGACGTTTTCAGATCGACTTTACTTTTTATAATTTTTTATAACATTAAATAATATTTAACATTTGTAAATATCAATGAATGATATACCTTTTTTTTTTGTTTGTTTGATTCCTTTTGAAAACAAGTGTTTTCAAAAGGAAAAAAACGCCGGTGCTATACGGCGGCGGATTGACAAAAGACTATTTATTAGCGAAGTTTTTTTATGCATGAACAGTTTCGAACTGTTTCAAGCAAAAATAAACCTTATACCATATCACAAGAGCACATGGTACTTCGTAGGTCTATTCGGCCATATGATAGTAATAAGACGGCAGTTCAACCATTTTAAGCAAAATTAAACAATAAGACAAACGCATTGTTTTGTTTTAACAGGAGACTTGTTTTACAGAAATTTATTTACAACTTGAGTTTGTGAGCGATTGCAATGAGTGCTATTATTTGTTACTTATTAGACAAGTTTTCCATAACATGATTTAAAACCCACAAAGTAAAAATAGTACAACGTACACGTTAAAAAAAGGTTGTCAACCCCTAAAAATTTCAAATTTTCAAAATATCCAGAAACGAAGCTGCATGCCTGAACTACTCGCAAAATAATGAATATTTTGTTCTGGATACATTTTCCAAAAAAGCATTTTTTTTAAAGACACGACTCGCGTGTCATACGTCACAAAAGTAATCGATGGCGCGTCTGGCGTGCCACCCGCACTGAACCGGATAACTGTGTCACCACGTTGCTTTGCTGCTTTGTCCAGCAAATACACTGGCTCCTTTAGTTTGTGTGTGGCCACCAGCCCAAGCAGTTCACACTTGAGCATTTTCATATCGGCATTTACGCCCTTCTTTATAAGCCACTCTATTATATCGGCTTTTTTGTTTGCCGTCGTTGGAGCCTTGTCAAGCTGCGCGGAATGGTAGGATGGATTATCCATTATTATTATAATATGAGGACCGTCCAGGTTGTCCATCATTTTATAGAACCATTCTGAAAAAGTTTCGAAGTTCATCTCATCGTGGTATTTATTAGTTTTTTTTGGATTTAAATGCTAGTAAACAGTTTGATACAAAACCTTTGGCAGTACCTGCGTGGCAAATTATTAGCCGCTTCCCCTTTCCTTCTGGTACTTTTGTGGATGATTGGGACGTATCATCGTTCGGTGTTTTTTTTTCACAGTGTGATTGGCATTCAACCACGTTTCGTCTAAAAACATAACCTTCTCCAAAATCAGAAATATTTTAGCTTTTCTTAAAAAATCAAATCTTTTGAGTGCTATGTCGTTCCTTTCCATAAGGACCTTGCGGTTGTTTGATTTTTGTTAATGAAAACCAATTTAATTTAATAGTTGTGACGGCGAGGTTCTACCACCGACATATAAACCCACTTCTCTTAATGTTCTCAGAAACTTGTCAAGTGTGGGTAATTCTTTCCTTGAATAATACCCATAAATGGACGTAGTTATACAAAAAGGTGGCTCAGGACCGTGTTTTGTGGCATTCTTTGGGGGAGGCCTATGTTCAGCAGTGGACTTGTGAAGGGCTGTAATGATGATACAAAAACGTTTCAAACCACAAGTCAATCAAAAATGAGTTAAATATACTGATCTTCTTATTTTGATATCTTCGCGAAGATGACTTGTGGGTTGGAATGTTTTTGTATAACTACGTCCAAATGTGGTTTCGTATAGCCGCACATTGAAAATCGTCAATATCGACTGTAGGTTGGATACGCCTTCGTTTTTTATTAGGAGTCGATAGCTTATTCCCCTCATCACCTTCTTTGCTAAATTTTTCAGTCGATATAAGTGTTACAGTAGCTAATCCAATTCCCAAAGCGTCAGCAGGAGAGTTTTTTTTAGTTGTTTTGGGTTGGGGATAGGACATACGAGGGCGGCACTGAAAATTTCGGGAATCAAGGAAGTGACACAACATTACTATTTAAAAATGTATTTATTGCTTTTCGAAGTATTCTCCGCGAAATTTGACACATTTTTCCATACGATGGAACTAATCATTGAAGCAACCATTCCATTCGGAAGTTGGGGTCTCCAAAATGGCCGTTTTGTCATTCGATGAGGTCGGGGCTGTACGACAGGTGGTCAAATAATTCTATG